CAACTATATAAATTGCATTTAGCCAGGAGAGCGCACATGGGAATTTATATATCTAATGAAGGTACACAGCATTCTCAATTTATATTTTTTGGTTAGATTCATTAGTTCCTTAAACATCAATATGTTTGGACGAGATACATTCTTTTTATCAATACATGTGTTTCTTTTTACTGACATATCTTTACACTTCATAATATAATGAAACTCATCTTCAAGATCTTTTTGAATTACACAATTTACAAGTTCGTCTATCTCTCTGAATATTTGTCCATCTCCCTATCTCAATAGGTAAGTAATGGTTGATGGTTCTAAATTTGTATAAAGTGTAAATATCGCGAAATTCTAGAATATCTACATAGTTCTCAAAGCCAAAAGTATCCTTAAAAATTCGATAATTTAATGTCTTCGAACATGCTTGCACATTTGAAAACCATGTTTGTTGAAACTAATCTTGGAGTGATCTTCTGGTTGTATTCTTTAACCAAATGTCACTTATATTTATATATAAACAACCCAGAGATAAATGGTATGAAAAGAAATGACTCTGAATATCTACTAAGCCAGTATGCAGATGACTCGTGTCTTTTATTAGATGAGAATGAGCAATCTGTAGAAAAATGCTTATATGGATTGGTTCAAAGATTCACTCGAGGGATAAACTAACAACTACAAGAAACTTGAACTGGAATTATTCATGAAAATTTAAACGTTTAGGAATAAAATTTGATCTGTTCAGTGAAAATAAAACGCTTGTTAATTTTGAGGGAAAAAAAGAAAAAATACAGAGCTTACTTAATTCCTGGGTATATAGAGATTTTACCTATATGGGAAAGATTACTGTTATTAAATCATTAGCTCTACCTATTCTAATTCAGTCATTGACAGTTTTGCCAAACTCACCTGTGGATAAAATAAAACAAATTCAAAATATTTTCTTTAGTTTCCTGTGGTCAGGAAAACCAGATAAGATTAAAAGAAAAGTTATGATAGGGTTGTATGAAAAGGGGGGGGGGGGGTTACTCACTAAAGATGACATAAATAAATAAACTTTTAGACCCTTTGAATATATCCCCATGGAAAATACTGTTAATAGATCAATACAACAGATTTGGAGCAGACAAAATATGGTTGATGACCCCTGATGGTATCCAAAGATTTCAACAAATTTTAATAATTTTTGGAAAGACATTTTACTAAACTGGAATATCCTAAACACTGTCACTAATGACACTGCTGAAGGGATCATGAAACAATCCATATGGCTAAACAAAAGTTTGACGATAGATAATAAAACTGTCTTTTACCAGAGTTTGAGTGAATCAGGAGTTTTCTTTGTAGGTGATTTACTTGATGAGAACAGTGAATTTTTGACTTTGAAGGAATTCCGCAGAAAATATAATCTTAATATTAATTTCCTGGAATACCATTCTATACTTCATATGATACCAAAAGCTTGGAAAGATCTAATCACTGCCTCAGAGAAAATAATGTGCATATCAAATGAAATATTTTATTTGATTAAAAACAATAAAAAATCATGTCAATTCTTTTATGAAAGAATAAAGAACTTCCTACAAAACAAGAAGACAAAATGTGTAAAGAACTAAGCACTCATATAGAAAATTGGGATTTCATTTATAGTTTACCCTTTTGTTGTACTAAAAACAACACATTTAGTATGTTCCAGTTTAAGATTTTGCATAGAATTCTCACTACAAATGCATTATTGCAGAAATATGGGTTAAAAGAGACTAATTTATGTAGTTTCTGTAATGAAACTAAAGAAACTATTAGTCATCTTTTCTGGGAATGTACTCGAGTTAGAAATTTATGGATAGAAATTTCAGCACTTTTTCAACTTAACAAAATGTAATTTAACTTTTTAAAATATTAAACGCAAAAAATATTGTTCTTGGGTCATGTCGCTTTAACACTTCATTACCAACTCTTACAGTTGCGATAGCTATGATAAAAAAATACCTACCAAATAGAAAATATATGTACCTCCTTTTACAGATCACCTAAAGCAAGAGAGAAATTTGATAGTAAATGGGAATTGATTAAAAACTTAGTTTACATGTGAGGAGAGACCTTTCTTTTTTGTACTCATTGAAGGCTTTATAATAATTCATGTAGAATTAATAATATGTTGATGCACATCACAATTGGACAGTGATTTGTGTGCATCAGTGAGTAATCTCCCAACTCAAGTGAAAATTGTGATAGGTCTATAGTTTTTTTTTGGATTAAATTTGTTTCCCTTATTCTTATAAAATGGCTTGATCGTGTCAATTACCCAAGATTCTGGTATATTCCCAGTTCTAAAAACTAAGTTAAACAAATACATCAATTGAAAAATCGCTAGAAGATTTGATATACTCATTTATAATCATATCGTCGCCACAGGCTTTGTTACTTTTTAGTTTCTTAATACAATTCATTATCTCATCCTTTGTTATCGGATCATTCAGTGTACCATTTAATTTATTTAATACATTTGGTAAAACTATAAGATGGGGGTTGCCTATATTTAGATCTCTGAAAAAGTTACGTAAATTATCAAAATTTATGTCCGGTTGATTCGTGTGTTCCCGCTTTTTTTTTTTTTTTTTAAATATTCCAATACTCTTTTGAATTTTGAGATCTGAGGTTATTTAATATTTTAGCCATATCCCGTCGATGAGTTTTTATGGCTTTGTCCATTACTTTTGTATATTTTCTCTCAGAATCTTTAGCTTTGTTGTATAATAAAAGCTAAGGTGTTGATTTAAACCTGTGCTTAAGTTTTCTAAAGTTTTGCCTCGCAAATTTGCAGTCATAAATAAACCGTGGCTTGTCTCCCTTGTTTTTAGGGACTCGCCTTTTCGGTTTACCCGTTCTCATTCCAAACGCTGTTTTAGCGGATTCTAAAACAACTAATCCGATCTCATTTACAAATCCATTTACATTGTTATTATCAATATTTTATGAATTCACATTTTTCAAATCAAGCAACAATCTGTCTAATCTTTGAACTTCAGCTCTAAATTCAGGTGCCTTTTTATGATCCCATTTATTAATTTTTTGTCTTGACTAACCATTCGGACTGTCCTGTTCATTACGATCTACAATCAATGCTTTGCTTTGTAAGCGAAAATATAGTGGACAATGAACATTTGTGAACACAAGTGTGAAAATTCATCAAAATCAATAAGTTTCTCTAAAACGTTAACATTACTCAAACACTAGTCTACGCATTTCTGCAGGTAAATGTCCCCATTCTATCATTTCCAATTCTACCATTCATAGCGAATAAATTGTTACATTTACATAAATCAAGCAGGGGCCATGTCAATGAAAGTATCCTTAGGATGTAAAACAAAGCTATCTAAAGACAGTCCTAACTACGATTGTCCTAGGACCATCCTAACACATGTATTTAAGTAATAAAAATATTTATAGAATTAAATGAGAAATATTTTAATGTGTTTCAGTATGTATGTGAAGGGCGGAGGGTTGCATCTTTCATGAAAAAAAAAATTAACGCAAAGTTTTAACGTAATACTAATAGATACATTATTATATACTGTTAAAAATGATCAATAAATTTCATACAAAAACTACCGGTAAACTAAATTGTCACAACATTTGGTGATTACCGTAACGTGTTTTCCCTTAATCCATACTAATACGATCTCTGGTTATATAAATACATAATCTTTCTCATTTGAGGTTCGTGTGTTAAATTCACCAATAAAAAAATATTTTCAAATGTGGTTGAAAATTCCAATTACTCATTTTCTTGAATGAATCAGGGGAAGATTATGCTGTATATTCTGGTTGGTTATAGACCACTCCGAATAGTATATCCTCGTTATTGAGAAATTTTGAAATCTTACACCATAGAATTTATTTATTTTACGTTTCAATCACTTCTATAGAGTCATTCAGATTTTCTCTATACCCAGTTATAATGCCATCTGATTTCACTCTTGATATTTTACGTCTATTTTTGAATTATAATTTGTAACCAGATAAATTAATATCATCCTTATTGTCAGTTTTTGATTCAACAAAGCAAGCAATATCTTGCTAAACTCCGAGCTGATTTGCGAAATTTTCCTCGTTATTGAAACAATTTCTTCAAAGTCTTGTGTAAATGAGACACTATAGCGCTTACAATATTGAGTTTCCATGCAGTATAGTATGCTATAAAAGGAAAACCAAACTGATTTATGTACAGAACAATAAACGAAAAAACCACACCCAATGCATTTAGTGTATAGACTTCATAGACAGTATGAGAAAAAAACATGATCTTGTGCAATGACAAAATATAGGTATCGACAGGATATAGGAATACACCATAAGATTAGGCCAAAATGGGAAAATAAACAACAGGGTACAAAACATCGTCCCTTTTGTCGTAAATTTTTGTATGGAGTTATCATTGTGAAACTGAAATATGTAAATGAAGGAAAATAGTAAGTTATTGTTATTTATATGGGATTTATAAAAATTTAGGCACTATATTTAGAGAATTCTTGATTATTATAGCGCCGAACTTTATATGATAACGCAAACATATCCTCAAGGTGATCTTGAATTTATAAATATCATTTAAGACGGATCTTTACTTAGTTTGACCAAATTGTGATCATAACAATGAAAGAACAGGTCTGCTATTGAAGGAGCTGAATAGGTACCCAACAACATGTCGATAAGCCATATTGTCGAAACGTATAAAATATTCTGGTTCGCTAATTAAGGAGTTTTTATATAAACTGATTAAAGACGTGTCCCGCATTTAGGTAAGACATCGTGTGTAACGTCAATACAACTAGTAAAAAAAATCTCTGTAAAATAAAACAAAAGCATTCATAGCCAAAAGGGAAAAAATAAACAAGCGATTTTAATAAAGAATGGTGCAATGTAACTTATAAGCAAAATAACTATTTTTTTTACCAATTTGTAAAGCACAGAGAAGACATATACGGAATTCTATGAAACACATGACAAAGTTATTGATTACAAATGCTTACTACCAATGTAAACATCAACACTGTAGTTACGCTTTTAACATTCTCTCCACTAGGGGCTTCGTTACCGATTGGTTCTGTGGTGTTTTCTTGTATTTCTGCCTGCATAATTGTAGGGATTTCTTTTAACCAAAAATTAACACGGTCTTCGTAAAGATGCTGACCACTTGTGATTTCAACATCTAAGTTGATGTAATACTCATTCTGTATGTCGTATTCGTTCCATTGGGGTAGCCCTTGTTCGTTCACATCACTGGAAAACAAACTAATGGTATTATATATATATATATATATATATATATATATATATATATATATTTGTGTTTGTATTTATGCGTGCGTTATTTACTAGTTTACAATCCAAGTGAGTTTTATGGTTTTTTTAGTAATATCTCAGCAGTTTTTTTCCTTAAAGAATGGTTGATGATTCAACATCAATGGCATGTGCGTAAAGTTTACAAGTTATACATTGCTACGACTCGTGTTCGATTTAGAGCTAGACACATTTGACAAACACCTGCATATTGTTTGAAGTCCTCGGAATATCCTTTATTCCTTTTTTGTTTGTTGTCGTAGTGATGTATTGATTAATATTTGTATGCATGTACAATGGAAGTCTTCGTTGTCTTTAAGCGAATTTTGTCCAAGTAGGAAGGAGTTGGTTCATTAACTAGGTAGATATCAGGGTATTCCCCGAATTAACAGAATATGTAATAAATGTTCTTCCAATACTGTCGAAGATGAGGCTCATTTTCTATTTGATTGTAACAAATTTGAGGATGATAGAAATTGTATGTTAGCTAGTATTGCAAAATATAATTCTTATTTTAATCATATGAGCAGTCAAAGCAAAATTATCTGGTTATTTAGTGTAGAAAATGTTGAGTTACTTAAAATAATATGTAATTTTATATACAAACATCTTCCTTAGTGAAGATTAGTTAAAGGAAATCTATGTGTGTATATACATTTGATTGGACATAGAAAATTATATTCATCTGAATATCACAAACATACTAGCCGATTAAAAAAAAAATGATTGTTAAGATATATTATTTATTCAAATGTTCTCTTATATCCTTGAGGCATCGTCCCCTGGTATCAACTGCATTCAAGTTACCTATGATGCTTCCTTGTTTGCTTTTGATACAGGTAGGAAAGAGACATTTACACACATTTTACATGCCTATGGCCCATAAGGTATCGCCCCCTGGTGTCAGCTGCCTTTAGGAAACCATAATGCTTTCCTATTTGCTGCTGACACAGGATGAGTCATGGACATGCTTAATTTCTACTTTCTTTTTGGCTAATTGTTATATATTTAATTGATCCAACTTTTTGTGTACTATACATATGTGGATATCTATTTTTCTTTTTTTCTTTTTGGGCTGCTTGTTTGTTATCTATATCAACCACACTTGCAATAAAATGCATTAGTATTAAAAAAAAAAAACATACTATAGATTCTTTATCTACGTATTCTTTAAGAACTTAAATAGTTCTCGTTTAACTTCTTTTTTTTTTATCTCATTGTTTGTATTGTATTATGAAAAATTATTGATGTTGTAATGTTTATGCCCTTTGGGGCCCATAATTGGAAATAAAATATCTTATCTTATCTTAACTCATAATTTTTTATACATATTTTCTTGACTTAGAGATATAGGATTTATCATATGCATTTCCCGTAGACACTTGCCTATTGTTGAAGAACGTACCTTTGCCTCTAGATGTATTTAGGTGTTCTTTTTATTTTATTTGTCTGTGTGTTGTTTGTTCCTTCGCCGTCTTATTGAAGTATTCCTGACATATTTTTTTTTAAAGAGTTCATTTATATTTCGACTATAAAATATATACCGGGAAATTATCGTACGGTTATTTTCACAAAACTGGATTCCAGTTTCTATTCCTGGGGAATAAGATTGTTCTTGTTTTTACGTTATGACAATAACGATATAATCTAGAGTATAGTTGACCCGGATGTAGCCAAATTTTAATTTTCACTTACGTTTACCACTTTTAATAGTAAGCAGATTTCTATAATAAAAAAACTTTAATATCGAATGTTTAACTTAGCATTTTTATGGCATTTGACGACTTATTCCCGCTTATTTAGATTAATGGTTTCTGGTATTGCGTATGGATAAAAAGAGATGTGGGCATATGTAAATGAAATAAAAACCAAATAAAACAGCGATACATGAAAAGAAATTCATCCTTTGAAATGTACCTAAGCGCAAGTCTTAAAGGGCCGTGTAACAGATTCTTCTCGTTAAATTCTCTGGACTGTCATTTAAACATAGGTAAAAACTATTTACACTTACCCTGTTTTAGCGAAATTTGTCCAATATTTCATCAATTTTATTTTTAGGTCTTCGTCCTGACTAGTAAAATGTGTTGTTGCTACACTAGGAAATTGATACACTGTTTCCGCTGAATGTATAGCGCCATCGAACCATGCAGGGAATGGGTACAATAGCTTTAAATCCGGAAGTAATCGGGAGAATATATACTGATAATGGCTGCCGTTGCCACTGCTCATCTCTGAATGCAGACGTAAAGATCTGGCAGTCGGAAGGTTGAAAAGAAAGTCAGAAAATGCATTGAGGATGGATTTACTTAGTTCTATCTCGTTGGACGCTTCACCGTATTTTTCACAGATAACTTTGGTAACTTTGATATTGTTCCCATACGTCATAGATGACATAGCAGGAGCCAACACATTACAAAGGAACAGTCGTGGTATATGATCATTAGCATCAAAATGGAAGTAATTTTGAAGACCGGATAGTAAAGCATATAATAGAAAGGATCCTTCCCCAGACACAGTACCTATTACTACATCTAATGAACGGTAAAATATGGACGCTTCCGACTTTGTGTTTTCTAGTAGTTCCATTGGATCATTTGTCAATAATTCACCGTCGATGACAGGAGTAAACGGAATTTGAAATGGAAGTGCATCAAATTGTACAGCTTTCGCGTGAAAGTATGCTCCTATCAAAACCTCAGCCGGTATTTTTCTCAAACAGTCAAGTGACATTTTTGGCTCTGTCGTAGGGCATCTAAAATATTCTAAGATGTTCAATGATCCAGCTTCTGTATAATTTCCCTGTAGAGAAAATGACATCGATGTACCACTTTGCATTATTGCCTTTTGAAATAGTCCTTTGTTTGATGGGATAAGCGCCAAAAGACCTACACTGAAACCACCTACTTCATTACCAAAAATCGTGATTGATTGCTTGTCTCCTCCAAATGAATCAATATTTTCGTTGACCCATCGAATAGCCAATATTTGATCCCATAGTCCGTAATTACCTTTGATAGCCCCAGTTGAAAAGAAACCAAAAACATTCAATCTGTATTGTATAGTTACAACAACTACATCCCCAGTAACAGCTAGTTGTGATCCGTCAAATGGTGCCATGTCACCAATTTGATAACCTCCATTTTGGATCCAGATCATAACAGATTTCCTATTATCTGTTGAAACATCAAATGGAACATAAATATCAAGAAAAAGGCAATCTTCTGAAAGCTGTAAGATATCTTCAAACATAGGAGTTATTATCTGATAACAAGATGGGGCAATTGACCTGCCATCTAACGTATTTTCCCAAGGTCCGTAAGGCAGTGGTTTCTCGAATCTCAAATTTCCAATAGGAGCTTTTGCATACGGGATTTTTCTGAATCTGTAGACATAATCATTGAGTTCTAGTGTTCTTAATCCGATAATACTACCAAGTTTGGTGTTGATTGTTACCTCTTCACCGTAAACAGTTACCTCTTCACCATAAACAACCTCTGTTGTTATCACAATAAGCGCACAAATGCTTAGGGAAAATACCATTGTGTTCCTGAAATTAAAATGGAAAGCCTATGAACAAAAGTTTGTCATGTGATTAACTAAATAAAAGATTCCACAAATAAAGGTCAGTTTTATACGGAAGCCGGTTAGGGCCACATTGAAAAAACAAAGATGTCATAATTACGACATACCATGTCGTAATAGCGCAAAACTTTTTCTTAATAACGACATCCTGCCAAAGTTAGTTCTGAAAAGAGTCAAAATTCTTATGTGGAAGGGGCATAATTCTTGATAAACTAAACAGAATAAAAACTCCTTCATAGAGAAATGTTTGTTTGTATTGTTTAATTATTCTACAACGTATGTAGTAAACACAGAATAAAAGTTTGTTCGGACAGACAGACGGACGGTAGGACCGACAGGGCGACTGATTCCTATTTAACCCCACACTGTCTTCGTGAGGGCTATAGTAAGCGACCATTTCTACTAAGCTGTGATATCATTCTGTACAGAGAAAAAAAAATGTCACCTGAAATATTGGCTGACGATATTTCGCCACATAAGCCAAATAATTCAGCTTCAAAGCTGGGAACCATTTATTCAATGTATTCTTGATACAAAGTTGTCATGTGGATAACTCAGAATTCTATTTTTGAATTCAATACCATTTGTTCAGTTAGTTCTGAATGTTAAACTGATAGGTGGATTAATAAGCGTTTTCACACCAAGATTGTTATATGCAAAAGATAAAACAATTAAATAAAATCATTAAGCATAAAACTAGACGCCTTCATAATAAACTTAAAAATCAAAGGAAACATTAGTAGCCATCTCTAAGTTATCCTGACCAACCATTTTCTTCGAAAAAATGTCTGTACCGTTTTCCATTCGTTCCGTTGGTTCATATATATAGTCTATCGTGCGATTTTGTCAGTTTTATGGACTACCTCCTTTTTTACTTTACCTTTGAGTTCGTTTTGTTTTATTTTATCAATCCTTTTTTACACAATAAGATAGAAAGGGACTTACTTTGATCCACATCAACCTTTAAAAATTTGAAGTCATTCGCAAACTATAAGGTCAAATGTGTTGTTCAACGTAGTACCGGTGTTCGATGTAGTTTAAGAGGCATTATCTTGAAACTTTGTACATGCGTACAGTTTTGACTTAACTTCATTGAACAAGGAAAATGATATTGTGAGCATTGCATTTATCATTTTGATATCTGGATAATGTTTAGTTCATTGCTTTTATTTCAAACGATTTCGGTTGTTGGTGGTTGATTTGGTGTTTTGTACAGATTATTAAATTGGAAATGCATATCATGCTGATGGTTTTAAACTGTTTACAGTCTCTGTCTTTTAAACATAAATATTGGGATATTTACAAAGTTTCTGAAATTGGTCGACATTGTTATTTTGAAGCATATAGTCCTAAATATATTTATTTACAAATTCAGCTATCATCGCCTTTTTGTAAAACTTCTACTTCTAATGATTTCTGCTGTTAACATTGTCTCTATTATATTACAGTTCTTAAGATAAAAGTGTTAAGTGCAAAAAACGTATTTTCAAATAAGTCAAATACAAATGTACTTATCTATGTATCTATGTAGTTATAAAGACATATTAGGATGTCATCATTTCAACATAGGATGTCGTTATAACGGCAAATGATGTCGTTATGACGACAAAGTTATGTCGTTATTCCGGCATATATACAGATAAGGAGATGTGGTATTATTGCCAATGTTACAACTTTCTACCAGAGTTCAAATGACGGATAAAAGCATTTATTGGTCACTGTATGGCCTTCAACTATCAGAAAAACCTTTACCGCATAGTCAGCTATAAAAGGCCCCTACATGAAAAATGAGAAACAATTCAAACGAGTAAAACAAACGGCCTTATTTATACAATACAATTTATGAAAAACAAATATAACAGCCATTTGCCATAGTATATATGTCGTTAATACCTTACTGGCTTCCGTAGCTTCATACCTTAATTTACACCTAGCCATGTACATAAATAAAATTGAGAATGGAAACGGGGAATGTGTCAAAGAGATAACAGCCCGACCAAAGAGCAGAAAACAGCCCAAGGCTACCAATGGGTCTTCAACACAGCGAGAAAAGGCTTGTATAACTAAACTTTACCGTTTTTATAAAGTAAAATCGAAGCCGCACCTGTATATGGGTTTTATAGCTCTTAAGAATTTTAGTTCTCAGTCAGTCCTCTTTGTCCATTTGTAGATTTTTCTGTATCCGAGGTATTGTTCATTATAAGCTTATTGGGATAGCTGCAGTCAGCAGAGCCACCAAATTTTGAATTATGAAGTGAAAGGACATATGTCTTGTGGGAGTATATATTAGTTTTCCAATTGAATTGTAAACACTTAACTCTTTTATTTGGCAGTTAAATATAATGTGATTTACAAGCAAAAACGATATAAGTTGGGGCTTTGTCTGCGGGGACGACAACTTTTTTGTCATGGAGGTATAGCATTGAAAATGTTAGTCACTTTTCACTCAAATTAACTATAATAATTCATATGTAATGTCTTTGTTATATTTGCAAGGTACTTATCTTTATCTTGATGCCTATCTTGTGAAGCAAATTAAGCTGACCAACTTCTGCAGTATTTAACATATGTATGTTTATAAGTTATCCTATTTATTTGGTTGCAGTTCAAACCAATGAAAAACTTAACCTCACGATATGTATGATCATTTCTTTAAGATGTCAATTGATATATCATATCAAATATTATATCGATAAGAACCACAAATATGTAACCTGATCGAGTAATCTTAGAACTTACATATAGGCCTATCTCATATATAATTTAGTAATCTTAGAACTTACATATAGGCCTATCTCATATATAACTTAGATGAATGAGCAGAAAATAAAAAGCTGATGATATGTTTTCGTTTGCACCATTTGTTTTTTTTTTTAGTTGTGTAATTTTTTATCAATAGTTTTCATAACCTTGACAGACGGGTTTTTTACATATTAAAATAAGAAGATGTAATATCTTTGTTGCCAATGAGACAACTATTAAATCGAGACCAAAAGACATACACTTTAACTACTATAGTATACCGTACGGCCTTCAACAATGAGCAAAAATCATACTGCATAGTAAGCTATAAAAGCCCCTCCCCCTCGGAGTGACAAATGTAAAACAATTCAAACGAGAAAAAAACGGCAAGATTTATGTATAAAACAATAAACGAAAAACAAACATGGTATACAGCAACAAACGACAACCATTGAATTACAGGCCTCTGACTTGGACCAGGCACATACAGAATGTGGCGGGGTAAAACATGTTTGCTTGCGCCAAACCCTTCCCCTAACCAGGTGGAAGGTTTTCACATAATTTATACAAATACATGTAACATCATATTATTACAAAAATAAGGGGATGTCGTATTAGTTTTAATATTTAGATTGAGATTAGAATAATTATGCCTCCGTTTATAAAAATTAATACGTAAAGAATGAGATCTGTGATTATGGTTTCTTAATGAGATTAGTGTCATATGTTGTATCTGTCTACTTGACAAATAAGTTGTTATTCCAGCACACAAAGCTTCGAACAAAATTGATACTTTATGCCAAAAAAGTTATTTTGAATGTCTAACTGACGTACTTGGAATTCACAAGAAAACTGGGAATCCCACATATATGGCAGCTGTTTTCAAATAGTCCGTTTCTATGTATGTTGGCGTTTGTTTTTGTTGCAGTTCAGTGTTTCTGTTGTTCCGTTGTTTTCCTCTTATAGTTGATGTGTTTCCCTCAGTTTTAGTTTGTAACCCGGATTTGTTTTCTCTTAATCGACTTATGACTATTAAACAGCGGTATACTACTGTTGCCTTTATATACCCCTACACCAGTCACAAAAAATGAGGGTTTTTTTTTCATATGTTCCAAAGTCCCAAGATGTCATCGTTGAGAGCAAGATGGTATGCAGTATTAGGTTTAAATGTCAAAATAGTTATAATTTAATATGTGTTTTCTTGTTTTATACATTTCAGTTAAAAAATATTCAAACAATGAAAATATCAACATAAATGTTGGTAAAATCTGGCGGACGTTATAAAACGTGTAGCTAGTTAGCATGTAAACTAAAACATCTTTAGTTTTGAAGATGTACGTTTCAAATGAAAAAAAGCACAGACATAATTGAATATTTTTTTTTCAAAAGTGCATTCAATAGGATACGTTTTGAAAAGCAAAGCTATGGATACAAAATGTAATATACAACAAATGAAAGGCAAGATATGAATTATGTAATAAAATCGAAAATGACGTAATTTACTGATATTGACACTCAATGATCACAGAACTGGAAATATTAGTTGACAATTGTTTTGATCTTCTGTTCAGTTGGCAATAATAACGTATTGCATAAAACAATGAAACGTGGAGGATGTAGTATTGGCGAGCATATACACAAAGTATATTTCATCCCTCAGTGACATTCTTAAAGCTGATCTCTGAAATAATTGTTGACTTTATATATAATAGTACAAACAGTTTTCAAAATATGAAGAGTTTTATGAAAAGATATTTAAACAGTGTGTTTTCCGTTATTTGTACGCCTATTTTTCGGAAGATTCGGGTGTTTGTGGTTGATGTGGTCTTTTGTACTGTCCACTATTTTC